TATGGGACCATACTGTGCTTGGTATAACAGTGACACTCCACTAGAGGAAACTGATTTTTCCTTTCCCAGTGGGTATCAAATGCAAATAGAGTCTCCAATGCTAGGATTTTGTCTGGTTTGAAACCACAGATCTGTGTGTGCTGCCTTGGTCCCGGGGAGTTCACCCAGGTACCAGTCCCGCTGTGTCTGGAAGGCACTGTTTCCTTGGAACCATCCACCACCTGTGGCTCTGACAATCTTTCTACCTCCTTTTCTGAATAGCTTCTTCAGCCCAGGGGAGGGATCTGATGTGGCCTCTGTGTCAATTCCCATCTACTGTAAGAAGAAGCCTCTCTGTTCTTCATCTTATTTCCTGAGACAAGGTTTCCCATTGAACCTTGAGCTCCCAGGGTCACCTGGACTAGCTGGCCAGCTCCTGAGATCTGCTTGTCTTTGTCCCTTGGTAGTGGAGGGGGCGGTTGTTACAGAGACAAGCTGCCACTCAGGTCCTCATGCTGACACAGCAAGTGCTTCACACACTGAGCCATCTCCCCAGCCCTTCCACAACCTTTCAATAGAACTATGGGCTGGAACCCGGTATTCAACACCCCAGCTTTAGTAGGGCATTGAAGATCTGAATGGCTGCCATCTTAGGGGCGCTTTCTCATAACTGCAATGAAAGTAATTGAAGAAAGCATTTGTTTTGGATCACAGTTTTGAAGGTACAGCCCACAATATGAATGGCATAGAGACAAGTGTGAGGCCACATGGCATCTGCAGTCAGGACAGAGAGAGAGAGATGAATTAAGGTACTCAGCTCACTTTTTTCTTTTCCAATTCAAAACCCCAATCCATGGGATGACACCACCTACATTAGGGTGTGTCTTCTCACCTCAACTAACCCAATATAGAAACTCATCACAGGCATACCCAGAGGCTTGCTTCCTAGGCGATGCCAGATGCTATCAAGTTGGCAATAGCAGCTCCCATTCTGCAGTCAGGAAAACCTGAGGCTCAGAGAGCTGGGCTGACCTGTTTGTTTACAGTGGTAGAAGGAGGGGCAGAGCTGGGGTCTAAATCCAGTTCTCCTGACTTGATAAATTCTTTGTGCCCAGTTGGGGACTTTCCTAGCTCTGTAGATACATCAACAGAGAAGGGGCATCTCCTTCCCTAGGAGGGTCAAGCAGCATGCTGGCTCTTGGACAGGGTATTCCCCACCATGTTAATAGCCCTCCTTCTGGACAATAATGCCTTGCAATCATATTCTGAACTACCCTTCCCATTTCCCTCCTGGGGCCCTCTAGACTCTAGTTCCTCTGAAAGGGCACATCCTTTTACACTTCCTCTTCCTTGCACTCTCCCTCCAATAGTTGAAATACTGTTCTACCTCCCTATTCTATCCCTGCTTCTGGAATTCCACTTTTCAAAAGGCCATGTCTTGGTGGTGACCTGAATTCAATTCCTGGCGCACAAATAAAGGTTGATGGGGAAAAAAAACTGACTCCACAAGGCTAAACTCTGACCTCCACACATACACTATGCAGAGAGAAAGAAAAGTGGGGAGACAAACAGGCGGACTGACTAGAATTGTGCAGGTCTAGTGAGGTAGCTACTGCTGCCATGAGTTCATGAGTGTGATGACCATGTCATGTACAGAAGACAGCATTCACAGCTCTCCTCCCCTTTCTCCGGCTCTTACAATCTTTCTACATCCTTACCTAAGCTTGAAGGTAATGATATAGGTGTCCAGTTTAGGACCGAGCACGCAACAGTTGCTTGTTCTCTTCACAGGAATCCATCAACATATCCTCATGGATGACAGAAGGGCTTGTAAGGCCCCACCACCCCAAATGCACCAGCACACTCACTCATAAATGTAGTAGGGTTTATACACACACATACACACATGCACACACACACACACGTGTGCCATGGTCATGCCACGCACATGTACACACGCACGCATACACTCACACACACATCCATACATGCACACACACATGCATGGGAGCACACATACGCACACGCGCACACACACGGGGAGGGAGGGATAGGGTTGGAAGAGTGATTTGGTGAAAGGGAGGAGTAAGATAGAATGATGGTGGGTGGACTTTCAGTAAAGAACACGGCAGCAGGAGCATGAGGCCTATGTTCACATCACATCCTAAGTCCAGAAGCAGAGGATCAGTGAATGCTGTTGATAATTCACTTTCTGCTTATTACTCAGTTCAGGACTCCAGCACATGGAATAGTGCCACTCTTGGCTAAGGTGGGTCTTTGCACTTCCGTTAACATAATGTAGAAACTCCCTCACAGCCATGTCCAAGGCTTGTTTCCATGGTGATTCTGGCCCCTATCAAGTGGATAATCCACATTAACCATCACAGTAGGTCAGCTTATGATGGTAGATCCTCATAAATGAGCTAAGGGTCTCATAAAAGAGACTCCAGAGAGCTGCCAAGATGGCTCCATGGATAAAGCTGCTTGCCACCAAGACTGACAACCTGAGTTCTATCCATGGAACCCATATGAGAAAAAGAGACACATTTCCGCTGTGGCATTCCTCCTCCTCTTGCTTAACTAAAACAAACAAATAAATAAACCCCAGAGCTGGCATAGTACCATAAGTCTGTCGTCACAACACTCAGAAGTAGAGGCAGGAGATTCCGACTCAGAGTCAACTTTGGCTATATATTGAGTTGTTTGGGGCCAACTTGGGTTAGATGAGACTCTGTCTCAGAAAAATACAACCAAAGAGGAAGAAGGAGGAAGAGAGAGAGACAGAGACAGAGAGACAGAGAACATACTGAAGGGGACCTGAGTTTGGTTCCAAACATATACAGAGGGCAGATCACAATCTCCTGTAACTTTAGTTCAAGATGATCTGATATCGCTTCTGGCCTCCTCGGACATTGCACTCACACACACAAACCCACACACACATGTATACACATAACTAAAAATAAAAACAAAATCTTTTTCTTTAAAAAAAGAGGAGAGACTCCAGAGAACTCCTTGACCCCTTCCAGCCTGTGAAGACAAAATAAGAAGAAATAATCTAAGACCCAGGAAGCAGCATCCCCAGATACCGGCTCCTACTTCCTCTTCAGCTTCCTGAAGTCCTGAATTGGGAGACATCAGGACTTTTTTCTATTGTCCTGGAGCCACTGTGTCTGTGACCCAAACAGACTGAGGTTGCTCTATTGGTCAACGTATGGGCAAGTTTGGTGGTGGTAGTGGGGCTGGCAATGGGACCCAGGGTCTCAGGCAAGCTGCAGTCCCGCCCCCTTGGAAATGGGGATGTGTATGCTTGGAGCTAAGTGTGTCCTGTGTTCTCTCACGTTTACAGGGATAATTGCTATCATGTTCCATCACCATTGTACCACGGCCTCATTTGGGGCTGACATCCTGTGAAATTCTTCCCTCAAAACAGGTGAGCAAGGGACTGGAGAGATGGCTCAGAAGTTAAGAGCCAGCCGGGCACGGTAGTGCACACCTTTAATCCCAGCACTCAGTAGGCAGTAGGCGAATCTCTGTAAGTTCAAGGCCAGCCAGGTCTACAAAGCAGGTTCCAGGACCACCAAAGACACACAGAGAAACCCTGTCTCAGAAGAGGGAAAAAAAAGGAAAAAAGGTTAAGAGCTCTCTTCTAGAGGTCCAGAGGTCCTGAATTCAATTCCCAGCAGCCCCATGGTGAATTACAATCATCTATAATGAGATCTGTTGCCCTCTTCCGGTGTGTAGGCAAGTAGACACTGTACACATAATAAGTAAATAAATCTTTTAAAAAAAAAAAAAGCACAGTTGGGCAACATAGGCCTTCTGGGAGCACTGTTTTGGCAGTAGTTGTCACCTGAGAGGGACAGAGAGGATCTCAGGTCATCTAGAAAGGTCACAGCAGTACCTATGAAGTTAAATCTAACAAGGAAAGGCTGAACAACAGGAAACACTCTGCCCTTGAGGCTGAGTTATCTATATCTGACAAACCATGTAGATCTGCAAATCTCTCTCTCTCTCTCTCTCTCTCTCTCTCTCTCTCTCTTTCTCGTCCCTCCATGTCATGGTGAGTGTGTAGATGTCATAGTGAGTGTGTAGACGCCAGAAGAATACTTCAGGAGTACCCCTCAGCATCCACATTCTTTGAGGCAGGGTCTCCTCTCAATCTCTGCTGCTTACTCCCAGCTAGTGTTCAAGTTTCCAGGGATCCTCCTGTCTCTACCTCCCATCTCATTGTGGAGTGCTAGGGTTACAGATGTGTGCTACAGCATCCAGGATCTTTTCCATGGGTTCCAGGAATTCAAACTCAAATCCTCCAATTTGCACAGCAAGCACTGTACCCACTGAGCCATCTCTCTAGCCCACTGTCTGTAAATCTCGACTGATCCCATCGTTAGAATAGAAGATGAGCACTGGGTTAAACCTCACCCTGACAATTCACAGCAAAAACACTACTCATTCTTATTCTCTCTCCTTCTCTTCCTCCTCTTTGTTTCCCCCTTCTCCTCTTCATCTTCTACTTATCCTCCTCCTAGCTTCTAACATCTCTAACTTGCTATGTAGCCGATGATAACCTTGAAATTCTGAGCCTTCTGTTTCTACCTCACAATATAAAGAATGAGTGTTACACACCACCACTTCCAGTTTCTGCAGTACTGGGAATTGAACCAGGGTCTTATGCATGCCAGACAAGTACTCTACCTATTGAGCCACATCCCCAAGCCCTCACTGCTCCATTGCACAGCTGAGCAAACCAAGTTCCAGTCCTGGATGTGCCTTGAATAAGGACATTGACATCAAAATATACAGCACTGCTCCTAGGCCAGGTTGGCACCTTCTAGCTGTGTCAATCAATGCCTCTCGCCCCACACTTTTCTGGGTGATGACGACTGCATCCTGTTCCCGTTTTTTCCTCCTGAGTCAGAGAAGAATGGTCCTCATATGGGGTGCTCCACAGGGCCATGGGGTTATATAAATCTCAAGGCAGAGAGGGGGTGGAGAGTGGGGAGTCAAGCAAGCGGAAGATGGCAGGAGAGCCAGAGCCCCAGAGGCCAAAGAACCATGGTGAGGCTGGGCACCTCTGAATGCTTTCAGGGGAGCTGGGTCCAGGATCCAGGATGATGTGGGCCTGGCCTCCAGCTCGGGGATGAGGGAGGTCAGCTGCTGTGTTCTGTTCCATTATTCAGAGGAGGAGGTCACATTTGAAGTCCAGAAATTTACTGAGAACGACCATGAGGGTCTCATTTGCAGTTCCAAGAGCATACCAGGTACTGGGGTGATTCGGGGGCAGAGGTGTTGGGGTGCTCTGCAGAATTAACACAGCAGAGCAGGATCTTCCCCTGGGACTTCAGCTTTGCCCATCTGTCCATCCTGCAGAATATCTGACCCGAGTCCCCTGGCTTCTCCTGCTTCTCATCTCTTTGAGTATCTTTGTGCTGATGTTGGCCACCCTGGTTCAAGGTCAGTCAGGGCAAGGCTGGGGAAGTGGGGCTGGAATGTGGAATCCTTTTAGGTTATTTTGTTTGTTTGTGGCATTTTTTATTTTGTTTGCTATTTTATTTTTGCACTTGTTAAACAAGAACTCTAGCACAGGACACTAATTGAACTTTTAGATTTTTCCCCTGGGATGATCTTTGCCTAGCCCCCAAATTCACCAAAGCTGGGACACCTAAGCTGCACATTCCTCATTCCATCTGTGACCAGGGGCAGTTGACTGTCCCTCTCCAAAATGGGACCCGTCCTCCCCTTGTTGCTGGACTTGGCACAGCCAGATGCCGTCAGGGCTCACATAGGGTGTGGGTGTGCTCTTCTCTCTTGCAGTTTCCAGGATTCGTGGATGCCCACAGAGACTGATCTCAGATAAGCAGGGGAGCTCCAGCTTGGGTGAGGGGCAACTGGAGCTCTGAGCGGGAGAGGACTCTGAGGTTGTGTGAGGTGGGCAAGCATGGGCACAGGCATGCTGCGTGTGTGGCAGGATGAGGGAGGGACCTGTGTGAGGTCCTGTGTCCCGGCAGTGTTTGGACTAGCAGGATCTGAGACTCAGTGTTCTAGCCTGTGAAATGGGCTCCTGGAGTCACTGTGATCGACAACAGTGATCTCGTGGGTCCAGTTCTGCACCAGGCACACAGTTGAGGTTTGATTGTTGCAAACTTCTTCTTGTAGTTGCTGTTCCTCAGGAGCTGACACACTCCATCTTGGAGAAAGTCCAGCAGCAGCTGAATCAGATCAATGTCTCTCTGGGTGAGACTCCAGGGCCCCAGTTAGAAGGAAATTGAAGGGTTATCAGAGGGATTGGCATCCACCTTCTGGGGCTTCCACTGAGGCAGGCAGGATAGAGCACAGGGATTGTGGCCTGGGTTTTGGGAGCACTGAGTCGGTAGCTGAAATAGAAGCCAAGCCCCGGGCTCTAAGGCCCAAAACAGAGGGGAGAAGGGAACTCAGGAGCTGAACTCATGTGGCCCCACTGCCCTGTTTGCTCTGTAGCTGGCCTGTGCCGGCCATGCCCCTGGGAATGGGAGCTCTTCCAGGGAAGCTGCTACCTCTTCTCCCGGACTCTGGGCAGCTGGGAAGCCTCAGTCGCCTCCTGCCAGAATCTTGGAGCCCACCTGGTGATCGTCAACAGTTTTGAAGAGCAGGTAATGGGGCCACGATAATCCTCCCATCTTACCCATCCGAGGCATTGGATTCCAGATTGGAGGCTGTGGGGTGTGGAGATGCAGTCAGAGAGGGCTTCCTGTAGGAAGAACCACAATGGAGTGGAGAGGTCCACATGAAAGGCAGCTTGGGTCTAAAGGGAGTCACAAAAGTTTTGAGACATTGTGTGACTCTCTTGGGACACGCCTAGGAACTAAGATATACATGAAGATATTTCCATGTATATGCATTTTAATCCGCACCCATGGCATACATTCGCATGCCAGTCCACACAACTCGACCAGCACTAGGCTTGAGTGCAGAAAAAGCTTGTAGGGGAGGCAGGAAGAGTGGGAATAAAGATGGATGATGGAGGTGTCTTTCTGACTCTTTCCCCCTTCCTCCCACCTCCACTCAGCAATTCCTCAAATACTTGCACATCAGAAAGAATGGACTCACCTGGATCGGCCTCAGTGATCACAGACATGAAGGTTCCTGGCACTGGGTGGATGGAACACCACTTGGACTCAGGTGAACACTCAGAATCCATGGCCCAGAGACAGTGGGCTGGAAGACGGCCCTCATCCTAAACACAGCCTTTGGTACTGGAACGCACCATGGCTGTTTCAAATTCAGGACCCCACATCCCTGGGCATTCTTTTCCTTGAGCCTAAAGCCAGTTCCCCAAAATCTGCTTTTCTGTTTGCTGGGATGATTCTCACGGAGGTGTGGTTAGAACTCACATTTTACTAAGCCCTGCCCTAGACTCCTGTCCACTGGCTTGGTCCTCAGACTTTGTCCATGAAAGCCCAAGATGGGTACCTCTGCAGTGGCTGGGAAGTGGGGCTCTGGACAGGATGGCTGTCTCTGATAACTAGTAATGTTTGCAGCTTCTGGAAAAATGGGGAGCCCAATAATGAAGGGGATGAGGATTGCGTGGAGCTGTCAGAAGATAAGTGGAATGACAAAAGATGTGCCGCGAAAAACTTCTGGATCTGCGAGAAGCCCTCGGCTCCCTGCCCTGGTCACTGAGAATCTGCGCTTCCCCTAGGCACACAGGCAACTTGGGGGCATTCTGCTCTAGTTCCAGCCACCTTGTCCATCCCTGGAATCCCTGCTCTGACTCCCTTGAGATCCCAAGAGAGTCCCTTGAGACACCCTCCCCTTCAGATCTTCCCTCTTCTTCTGTGGATTATCTCAGTTGCTCTTCCCAGCCCATGAACCCCTCGGTAGTCACTGAGTGACTGTGTCTGGGTGTTGCTCAATGACTCACAGTTTGCCCAGCACAAGTGAGTCTCTCTAGAGTTCCATCCCCAGCACAGAAATAAAAGAATGAACAAATAATTAAATTCATATATGGCCTGATGTGTTCCATTCCGTGGATGCTGCTCTGGACATTGTCTTCATTAATGATGCTTTGAAATATTTGATATTAGCTAGAATATTTGTGTCTACAACACTTTTGAGTTGTGAAGCAATTTTTTTGTTTGTTTGTGACCTTGAACTTGATATGTAGATCAGACTACCCTTGAACTCAGAGATCTACCTCCTTCTGCCTCCTCAGTGCTGGGATTAAAGACTTGCATCGCTATACCTTGAAGAATAAGTTTAAATTGGGGGGGGGAGGTGGTACTCTACACCCACTGAGTACATTCATGTTCATTTATACTCTCATAGTCTCTCCGTGGGTGTGTCTATCTCTCTCTCTCTCCCGTCTCCACATGTCTCTGTTCATTCATTAATGAACAATTATTTATTCACAACCCCCCAAATGCCCTTGGATAAAGTCTTATGATTTCATTGTTTAGAGCACTTCCCCCAGGTTTCTTGCAGCCACAATAACCGACACTCACAGACTAGGGGGGCTAAAATGCCACAAAAGGCATCTGATGTTTCTGGAGCTCGGCATATCCTCTGCTCTCAAAAGAAACCTCTGTGGTCTAGTCAGGAGTCAGGGAGTGACCAGCCCTCTGGGTTTCCCCGCAGGCTGCACAAAGTCATCCTCAAGGTTTTCCCAGCCACAGGCAGAAACCCAGACCACACTTCCCACCTCCTCACCTTGCCTTGGCTGGACCTTCTGCCTGTCATCGTGTGCTTCCTCCACCTCCCAAACATCTATCATGTTCTCAAGAGGCACACCAGTGTCATCTAGGTGATCTGTTGGTCCCTCCTGGCACTGCAGTCCAGGGGAAGGAAAAGGAGCCCTACACAGCACCTCTCAGCTCAGGAAAGCTGTCTCCAGAGCCTGCTCTCACCCCAGCCAGGAAAGCTCCTTTCCCTGGTAAAGGTTCAGCCTCCCCCTAGCGTCTTGAAACCTAGGGGAGTTTTTCAGCATCGCTGAAGAAAATTCTCCCTCAGTCCTCTGGGTGGCGCCCGACATCATGGAAAGCTCTGTGTTTGCTCTGCTGCCTCTGGCCTCCTCAAGGCTGCCTAGCTTCCCTCACTATCCTCAGGACACAACAGAGTCCCAGTCCCTGGAACAAGGCCCTCCCACTCCCTCTCTCCGCACTTGCCCAATGGCCTGTGCATCTCCTACCTTGCTGCCTGTTGCTTCTTTTTGGAGTTAGAAAGAATTTAGCTTTTTTATATCAAAATTATGAAACCTTGAATACCTTAGAGAAACTGCAATTTTAGAGTCCTTGGATATTTTAGACAAATTTTACAATTTTAAAGAGGTTTTGGATGTCTTAAAGAGGCTGGATTTTTAGACAAGAGCTAGTTCCAGAACAGGCTCCAAAGCTACAGAGAAAAACCCTGTCTTAGGGGGGAAAAAAAAAAAGTTGGATTTTTTGTTGTTGTTGTTGTTATTTGTTTTATTTTTCTAGACAGGGTTTCCCTGTGTAGTCTTGAGTGTACCAGAACTGTAAACCAGACTGGCCCCAAACTCACAGAGATTCTCTTGCCTCTGCCTCAAGAGTGCTGGGGTTAAAAGCATGGGTTCCCATCACCACCCAAGCAAGAGGCTGAATTTTTAAAGCACTGTGGGATTTTAAAAGCTGAAATATTTTATGCTGTAACGATAATATTAATATGAGATCTTGAAGATAAACAGAAAAGGGAGACTGTTAAGGTTTAGCAACAACTGTGCTTGTACGTCAAGTTGACAAAGGGTCAATTGCCCCGGTTGGTATTTTTATCAACTTGAAACAAGCTGGAGTTATCTAAGAAGAGAAAACCATGATTAGAAAATGCCTCCGTAAGATTTGCTATAGGCAAGCTTGTGGGGTATTTTCTTAATTCATGACTGGTGTGGGAGGCCCAGTCAATTATGGACCGTGCCACTGCTGGAAAGACGTCCTGGTATATAAGTAAGCAGGCTGAGCAAGCCAGCAGGCAGTGTTCTTCCATGGCTTCCACTTCAGTCCCTGCCTCCAGGCTCCTGCCTTGACACGGACTGGGATGCGGACGTGTAAGATAAAACCCTTTCTTTCCTCAGCTTCATTGGGCCATGGTGTTTTATCACAGCAGTAGAAACTCTAAGACAGCCGCTGCATTATTTCTCTTGTTTCTGGAGAGAAATGTCTGATAAGAGCAGACAGAGTTTATTTTGGCTGGTTGTTGGAGGCTGCAGCCCACCATGGTATCAAGAACGCACGAAGGAGCTGGTTACTTTGCATTTGTAGTTAGGAGACAGAGGGATGCACGCTGGTGCGCAGCTCGCTTTCACAGTTCTGGCATTTTTCTTCAAGGGTGCAGTACAACCCTTTGGGTGGTGCTACCCACCTTGAGAATAGGCCCCCCCTCCTCAGTTTAGCTTCTCTGAAGACACCTCCAGAGATGATGATGACTATTCTTGGTTGTCAACTTGACTACATCTGGAATGAACTATAGTCCAGAAAAAATGGAGGGCACACCTGGGAGAGAGTTCTTTCCTTGGTTTGAAGTGGGTGAATCCACTCTAGTCCAGACCTTTACAGTAGAAAGACAGAGCCTTTGAATCCAGATCTTGATGCAGAAAGGCACATCTTTAATCTTGCCCATACTTTCTTCTGGAAGCCTATATAAGGGCATGGAAGAAGGAAGCTTTTGCTCTTTGCCTGCTTGCTCTCATCTTGCTAACAAGTTCATTCCTTTGCTGGCATTAGAGCCTACTTTCTTGGGATTCCAGTGTCTAATGAAGACCAGCAGAGATATTAAACCTCTTGGACTGAGCAACTTCTGGATTCTTGGAGTGTGTGTGTGTGTGTGTGTGTGTGTGTGTGTGTAGAAAAAGAGAGAGAGAGAGATTCATTCTATTAAGTTCTGTTTCTCTAAAGAACCCTGACTAGTACAGGTTTTGTTTTGTTTTGTTTTGTTTTGTTTTGTTTTGTTTTGTTTTACCAGAAGTGGTCCTTCTTGGCCTCCACATCAACTCCTGCCTCCAGGTTTCTGCCCTGTTTGAACTCCTATCCTAATTTCCTTTAATGATGGACTACAATGTGGAAATATAAGTCAAATAAACCCTTTCCTCCCCAACTTGCTTTTGGTCATGGTGTTTCACTGCAGCAATAGAACCCCTATTTGGATTCTAGAGACAGCATTTTCTTTACTTGGGTATGTTTGTTAGTCCAGCCCATAAACCAAATGACTCGGAAAGCTGGTAGCTTTGTGTGGCGCCTGGAGCAGGAGACAGTTCTTCAACAGGTCTAGGCTACTGTGCAGGCTATTCTACTACTTGAATCATGATCCAGCAGACCTGATGGTACCTGAGGTGTAGGTGGCGAATAGGAACGCTGTTTGGAGTCTTTGGCAGGCCCCTGTAGGTGAACCACAAAGGAGACTTTTGAGGTTGGGGAGCAAGGCTCTACCATCATCTTCAGACAACTACTCTTCCTTTGAGTGACAGCTCTTGACCTGCAATTATCTATGGGAAAAGCAAGATGTCATTAGGAGTCATTGTATTACTGTTTAGAACAATAGGACTTGGTTTTTTTTTTCCCTAGGCACAAGTCCTGTCCAGTCTTATGTTCTTGGACAGCTGAGTAACTTCAGTGATAGGTTCTATCTCATAAAGTGGGCCTTAAATACAGTCAGAGATTAGTTGGTTACTCCCACAACATTTGTGCCACTAGAGCACCAGCATATCATACAGATAGGTCACATTATATATCACAGGATTTGTAGCTGCAATAGTGTGTGCCTTTTTCCTCTAACATGATGCAGAATACCTTTCAATACCATGAATACTTAGTCAGTAGTGGGCGATGGCTCTAGTCAGGTCCCAGCTCAATTTCTCCATTTCCATTTGATAAGTATTATCTTCAACAACAGGGCCTTACCATCAGTTCACGGAGAGCAATCAGTAGCCTTGGCAATCACATGAGATGTTTGGGGGTTTCCATGGGACCCCTTAGGCCAACAACTCAACTAGATGTAACCCATTACCATTACTGGAGGTTTCACATAGTGACGTACGATGTCTAGTTGGGGCATTGTCTCACTCATTATTTGGTGACTCCATTTAGATTTCTTTCATATATGTATATATTTTAAGAAGCTTTTATAAGTAGGATTCCATGTGACCCCTCAAATGGCCCTTAGTGACAGTAATCCTTTCCCATATTCTCTTCCTTGCCCCTTTTACTCCCCATTCCATATTTAGTCCTCCTACTCCAGGACTGGTGACCATGTCAGAAGACCAGCAGGGGACAATTGACTTCAGGGGATCAGACCCACCAGGAAACAAACCTCTGTTGGGGGAATATCAGATAGGCAAGGCCCAGAGGGCTTCAGCTCCAGAATGTCTCTTAATACAGTTATGTCTTTATATGTTTGCTGCTGCCATTTTTCTTTGCTATCTGGCATGGTGTGAATGGGCCCTTAATGTAGTCTTGGAAATAACCAGTTCTACTGGACATGTTTACCTGTGGATTATTATGAAGATAATTACCTCCGAAGCTGTACTGTTTAACTAAAGCAATGATTTTATATGATAGTAGTGTCAGTTTAAATAGAATTTTGATGATTGAGGGTTTTATAAACATATCATGGGATTATGATAGAGGTTAGTTTAGTGGGAAAATTAACATAGGTAATGGTAGGATAAAATGTTGCCCCTGCCTCTGATAAAGCAAAGGCTTCAGAGGATAAAAAATAAAAAAAAAGGAACTGTCACACAAAATTAGTTTCTTTTGAGGAGCTGTACACAATGTGGGTGAGTCCTAGAAGCCCAGCTTGGTTAAATTCTTTTAATCTTAAAGTTGAGAGATATGTTCAGAGGTTTCAGAGTGCATCACAGCTGAAACAAAGCTTTAAAAAGTAACTTAAGATTAGATTGATATGTTTTTGTGAATAACTTTGAGGTTAAAAACCCAAGAAAGACAACTCTTTCTTTAAAAAGGCAGAG